GAGGGAGTCCTTGAACTTGGGCAGAGAGCCCCACAGATTGAACTCATACTGGCCCAGGAGAGCCTGAGGGTTCGCCACCCGGAACTGGAAGCTCGAGGACGAATAAATTTTTCTCCCAAATGAATCCAGCCTCCTTGAATCTTTATTTTTCAGAGTGAGGGCTGGTTGGCCCTGCCGCTCTCTGTGGTTGACCGACTCGACCACCAGGGAGTTAGGGGCAGGATGGGTGTATAGGTATTCATGTCCCTAGGCGGGCACAAAATACTTGCGTTCCGCTCTCTTAGAGATGGGGGGGGAGGGCAATGAGGCTGGGGTTTGCCACAAGGCATTTGAAATTTTCGCCACCCCTTCGTGGAGTGGCAAGGCCACCCTGCCTGGTATCCAGGCGGACAGGACATTAAAAAGGGAGTCTGAGGGCTCCTCCACCACCTCTGCCTAAAGGTTGAGGTTTGATGCCACCCTTTTCAATAGGTGGGCTTTAGATTCCTTCTGCGGGACGGAGGGGCCGTAATCGCCTCATCAGGGGAGGGCGAGGAGGCGGGCATGGTAATTTGCGGATCCACCACCTGATCCCTCTCCGGGCACAGCGCTGAAGATGCGCGTCCTACCGACTCCTTCCTCGGAGGCCGGGAGCGGGAGGCCAACAGCTGTTCCGGGGCTTCGGCCACCGAGCGAGACCCCACCGGGGGCTGCGTCGGGGGTCACAGTGCCCACTGATACCACTGTGCTGGCCACGGGGCCCAGTACCACTGCACCTGCTGTGGCACCGGCGGAGCAGGCTGTTTGGCCTGGCTGGCCTGACCCATCGATGAACGACTACGAAGGGAGGCCGGACTGACGTACGACCTGCCGCTGTGTCTGGACCGGGAGGAGTGGCGGCGCCGGGAGCTGTGCCCACCACGAGACCGTGATCCCGACGTGGAGGAATGGTACCACCGGGAGCAGCTGCTCTGCGATTGGCTCCGGCAGCCGGATCCGCGCCAGCGAGGCGATCGATGCCCAGGGCTGTGGGAGCAGTGCCGTGGCGGGGTCCTGGAGTGAAACAACGAACGGGAATGGTGTCAACGTTCGTGTTGCGAAAGGCTACGATAGCCCCTCTGAGACGAGGACCTTCGGCATCATCTGCCTCGGTCCCATCGGTGTCCGCTCCTCAAGGCGGAGCGGTGGCTGCAGTCTCTGTCAGTCGGAACCCAACCAGACAACCTGGTGGGGGTTGATAGCGACCTGAATGGACTACGCACAGGACAGTTGCTGAGCGGCGAACGACATCGGGAACATTCCCTCGACAGTGACCGGTACCGAGTCGGGGGCAATTGTGGAGATCCCAGCGGCGGCTTGCCTCTGATCGCGGGACCAACATTGGCGGTGCTTCTGATACCGGCATGGACATAACGTCCTGGGCCGCTTGCAGGGCCTCTGGCATGGAGGGCATCCGGACATCTGGAGAAGCCTGCTCCAAATGGGCCAGTCTACTCCGCTTGACCTGAGTCGGAGGCCTGGAGGCCGATGGGGACCGAGGACTGCCTAACATAGGTCTAGCCTCTCCCCCAGTCTTACTCCAGTGCTGCGGCGGAGAAGGCCTCTCCTTAGCTTTCTTGGTGTGCCCTACGAACGGGAAGCGGTGCCAACTGGTAGATGGCGCCAGGGGGTCTCAGTGCACCGACACCGCGGTACCCAGTGCCGACTTGGAGGGGCGCGCTGGAATCAGGGTCAAGGCCGACTCCATCAGGATGGCCCGGAGCCTAATATCTCTCTCTCTCGGTCCAAGGCTTGAACAACTTGCAAATCTTGCAGCAATCGCTGAGATGGGTTTCACCCAAATAGTGTAAACAGTCCGCGTGCAGATCACTCACTGGCATTGGTCGCCTACAAGTGTTGCACGACTTAAAACCCGGGGCGCGAGGCATGTCCCAGCCCAGGCGCACTAACTAAACTAAACTAAAACTAATCAAACTACTAACTACAGGTACTATACACTGAACGAACAAGAGTTCTGGGGAAGAGCTGCAGCAAAGCTGGAGCAGAGCAGTTCCGAAGTACCTTCACTGGTGGCAAGAAGGAACTGAGGGTGGGGAGAGCATGCAGCGCCCCATATACCGCACCATGGAGGCACCACTCCAAAGGTCGCTAGGGGCGCTCCCCTCTGGGTACTGCTAGGGGAAAAACTTCCAGCACCGGTGCATGTGGCAAGCACGCACACCTATTGTGGAATACACATGAGCAATCACTCGAAGAAGAAGGTATTTTATTAATAATATCAGTGAATTCCTTGCAAACCACTGGCTGTCTTTCTTCGGAAAGCTATGTAGATTTTTGGGTTTCTTTTTCTAGTGGTAACTGTAGGGTACTTCCCCAGGCTATTTACAGGAGGGGTAGTATGCTATTCGGACCATTCAGCCGAAACAGGTATCGGGACCAATATCCTGATTGTGGGAATAACCTGTAGATGGCCCTACGAACCTGTAAAGATGTCTGCCTCTTCCCAGGCTAGCTTAGACCCATGTAAAGTATTTGGGGAGAGATCTAGTACCACTCAGAGCTTTATTCCATTTGGAACACAGGTAGCAATTTCCCACTTCCCCCCATAACCTCACAATGGTGTAGCTGCATGGGGAATGGAAATCTTATGTGCCTTGGTTCTGGGCACAGACTGCCTGAAGTGCTCCTTAAGCTTTAATGTAGAGCTAGCCTATTGAGAGGGAGATGGGCAACCCTCTCCCCAACTGTGAACCCCTTTCCCTGGCAGAGTGAAGGTCCATGGGCTGAAACCCAGACAAGCACAATTCCCCATTGCACTGCTGCGGAGACAGGGCTTCATAGGAATAACAGGCTTCTTTGCATGCCCAGACATGCTGCAGGACACAGAAGAGGCGGGTTGGGAAAGCAAAGGAGAAAAAGTTTAAATCATAATTTTTACAGGACTTGCTCATTAACAATACGAATCACTTCCTTATGAAAGGGATGCTTGACTTTTGTCTTTTTGACACTCAGAGCCTTTGGAGTTTGCAAGACTTAGCCCTGAGCAGGCTGTGAGTTCTCCTCTTTGCAGGAATCCCCATGTTCCTGGTCAAGCCTCCCATGGTGGAGTCACAGCTTTGGGCAGGGGAGCAGAGGCCCCAGCATGGCAGTCTGACTCAAAGCCCTAGGCCAGGGGTCGGCAACGTTCGGCACGTGGCTTGCCAGGGTAAGAACCCTGGCGGGCCGGGCCAGTTTATTTACCTGCTGACGCGGCAGGTTTGGCCGATCGCGGCCCCCACTGGCCGCGGTTCGCTGTCCCGGGCCAATGGGGACGGCGGGAAGCGGCGCGGGCCGAGGGATGTGCTGGCCGCGGCTTCCCGCCGCCCCCCTTGGCCCGGGACGGCGAACCGCGGCGAGTGGGGGCCGCGATGGGCCGAACCTGCCGCGTCAGCAGGTAAATAAACTGGCCCGGCTCGCTAGGGTGCTTACCCTGGCGAGCCGAACGTTGCCGACCCCTGCCCTAGGCCATGACAAAGCAAGGCCTGGTGGATTGTAGCAGCAGGGTATAGCTGTCCTTTGAGGCACCTGAAAAACTGCCTGTAGCACTTCTTGGACTTGGCTCAATGCTTGCAAAGCTTCTTTGCTGTGACAGTAGAGGGAAGAGGGAACCCACTGTTGTACCAAAGAAACCAAAGGTTACAGCCTCAATATTCTGGTGATTCCTCAGTGAAGAAGAGAGGAGCTAGAAGGTGAAATAAAATCATCCAGCATGAAAATGAATAAAAACTGAAGTTAAACAACAAAGTATTTGGGAGAAACGGAACCATCACATCTTCCCTGGTGTGTCTCTTACACAACTGCAACCCCTCCCCCCAAACTTCTATAATGCTTATAACTTTTCAATACAAAATTATGCAGCACATTGAAAGATTAAAAATTTGGAAACCGCATAAACTGAACTAAGTATTAATAAATAACAGATGAAATACTGTAGTGATTGCATTATTCATTTTCATATTTATTTCAGTATAAACCTCCAATTTTAAGTTTATCTGAAGCTGATGCAGAACCTCAAGTAAACTTGTTCTGCCCACAAAGGCAAAACATTTTGTGGCCTGAGTAGAAGGGTGTAGTTTAACTCTGGAGCCTTCAGCACCAAATTCCACAGATGAGGAATTACCCATTTGTGATGAATGAGGAGAGAAGCTGTGCAGCAGAAAAAGAATATCTTGTATATAAGCAAAAACTAGCACACATTACAAATAGACAAAAATTAGGGTTATCCAACTTTTTCATAATGTGGACCACATTTTAATAAAGAGATCACCTCCATCCCATTTGCAATTGTGAAGACCATCTTACAAATATATTTCCATAATATCCTAGTGGCAACAACAGCAATTGCTTACACACAGCTAAGCTGTCTCCTCCTCATTTCCACTTGATCTTCATTGCAAAGAGCCTTGATCTCAGCATTAGAAGAGGGAAACAAGAAGGGAAGCCAGAATTATGTAGCCTGCCAGCTTTTGCAGACCATCAGACAGTTCTCGATGGGCTACAGTTTGGGAAATACTGAACAAGGTGATTATGTACCATATTACTGACTCTGTTCTTTATTGTCATTTGGTAAGTTACTTAAGTACAAAACTGAAGACTAAGTAAAAGTACCAATAAGAAGAAATGTAGGGAATATGGAGAAGGTACAGAGAAAGGCCCAGGGAGAGAAAGTTAAAAAAAAAGTTACAAATGAATAGCATAAATTATTAGTTTTATTACTGTATTTAATTTTAGTTAACAAGAAAAAAGAACTGTGGAATCTGTGATGGGAATTATTTTTTATTATATGTTACTACTGTAAAAGATTATTCTGCTCTTTTTAGCTGGCATATTCACATCTGTACTTTAAAATTCCGCAATATATTTTTAAAAAGGAGAAACTAGATAGAGATGTAGGGAGGTGATGTAGCTATGTCTTGGTAGATGATATTTATGAGCTTTGATACATAAAAGCTGCCAGGACATCTTCTAAGCTCTCATTTTACCTTTAAGTTGCTAGCCTTTACAAGACTGATTTTGACATTTGGTTCAGGAGATGGATTTTCCCACTGATCACAGAGCTGAACTATCAGAGGCTTCTGCAGTTCTCTGCCATTAATTACTGCAATAGGCTGAAAAAGATACAAATATATATATTTTTTATTTTATTGTAAATAGAATGCGTCAGACAATCATTACAGGGGTGTGAGCAAGAACTACCCTCCTCCTCCCAACAAATCATGACCAAGGAACATGAGGCCATGACTTCCATCAGCTGCCTCCTAAACTAGGCTGCCTATGGTAGAGGATTAAAGCCCCAGTGGAGGCAATGCATGGGGGAGCAGGTATGTTGGGTCACATGCACCCCAGATTGCTTGGTCACATGGTGCAGCCGGGACCCCTCCCTGCAGGGCGCTGAGCCAACTGCTACACACAAAATGACCGGATGGTCACAGTCTAGTTCAAAACACACAGGTATCCTGTAATGGGGTGTGGCAGGGCCAAAAGACTTCCAGCAAGGGGCTTCAGAGGGTCTGGTATACCCTGTCACATATCCATATTAATAGGGGCACTGGTGGAAGCTTGAATTGCTTCTGTCTATACTATACTGTCTTGTAGAGATAGTGAACTTTGATCTCCAGGGCTGTTATGTTGTAGAAACTTTCAGGAATACTGAATACAGGCAAGTCTCATCTTACGCGGGGGTTCCGTTCCGCGGTTAGCGCGTAAAGCAAAAACCGCGTATAGTCAAAATTACATTGAGTTCAATTGCGGGCGGAATCGCCCGCACTACAGGTACAGTATTAAAATGGTTATTTTTTTGTTTTGTTTTTGCCATGTAAAGCTGAAATCGCGCATGTTAAATGCGCATAAGATGCAACAGACCCGTATACTATACTGAAAGAAAAACTCAACAGATTTCATCTTTGCTCCTTATACTTCAAAAACTCTGGAAATATAAAGAGCTGGTATTAAATCCTTTGGAACTGAACCAAAAGAAGCTGACTCACCTCCCCTAATTCTGGCCAATCCATAAGGTGTAGTTTAACTGGAGGTCCTGAAGTCAAATTTACTCTGAGAAAATCAGAAAATTCACGCCAAGCAAAACACAATTCTTTACTTCCAGGAGGACCTGGATAAAACCTAATACCTTTGACTGCCATGGTTTGTGTACTTTCCTATTAAGAAACAGAAGTGTAACATATTTTTAGTAAAAGCAAAGCGAAATGTAATTTATTCTTTTTTCAGATTTAAAAATGTGACTATTTATGTACACTGGATGCCAGTCTTTTTGTTGTACATTGAATAATAAATGAAAAGATTATATTGCAATGTTTGATCTCTGTTAAAATGTCAAGGTATTTTGGGATATGTAAATAAAGTGACTGATTTTAAACTAATTCTACATATTCTTAAGACATCTATCTTCATAGTAAATGGGTTTTTATCTAATTATTTTTATGCCATGATACCTAAGGACAGGTCATACCGAACAACAACCATGCAAAACTGTCAAAAATGTATAAGCCCAGACACAATATATATTTGCTTGTCTTAGCATGATGACTCAACATGAAAAAACAAATGATAGCTTATTCCCAGTCAAAATAAATCACTCACTCAAATGAAGGAGCAGAATATTTAAAGGCTGTGTTAAAATCAAATACTAGCATACATTAAATTAAACTGCCCAAGACAGAAAGCAAGATCAGCCACTTGTCTTTATTGCCCGAACCCATAAAAATGAAAAGCAGGTTGAGGATCTCAATTTATTCAAACATAAACTACAGCAGAGCTATTGCATGCAATAATAAATGCTAAAAACTCCTAAATCCAGTTATTTAGGGCCTACAAAGTGGAGCCACACCAAAAACAAAAACAAAAAAAGGGAATTCTGTAACACAACTTTATGGGACAGCGTAAAAAATCTCCTTCCCCTTATTTTTGTTGTTGTTTGCCATTGAAAATTAAATTAAGTTCTATTTGACAGAAATTCTATGTAGCAGGATTTTGTATCTTTATGCTAGAAATTAAGAAAAAATACAATTCACATCAATTGGAAAATAGCAAAACATTTTAAAGGAAAACAAGGAACACGATGTTAAGAGTTGAAAAAGTCACAAAATTTAGTTAGTTCATTGATCAATGATTGAACACTGAAAGAAACTGCATTTACAATACATATGCTAAAATTGTTTTAGACAACACCAGCTTGGAAAGAGAAAGAAAGACTATTAACCAGGCAATGACTGATATATTTTACATCAACTTCAGGCAAAATGAAAGGATAAAACAATTATCAGTTTATTGCTAAGAAACAAAATGGAAAAGACGGTTACTCACCGTTGTAACTGTTGTTCTTCGAGATGTGTTGCTCATATCCATTCCAGTTAGGTGTGTGCGCGCCGCGTGCACGATCGTCGGAAGATTTTTACCCTAGCAACACCCGGTGGGTCGGCTGTGGAGCCCCCTAGAGTGGCGCCGTTATGGCGCTGGATATATACCCCAGCCGACCCAGCGCCCCCTCAGTTCCTTCTTGCCGGCTACTCCGACAGTGGGGAAGGGGGGCGGGTTTGGAATGGATATGAGCAACACATCTCGAAGAACAACAGTTACAACGGTGAGTAACCGTCTTTTCTTCTTCGAGTGCTTGCTCATATCCATTCCAGTTAGGTGACTCCCAAGCCCCACCTAGGTGGCGGGGTCGGAGTGAGACATTGCTGTGTGCAGAACCGCTGACCCGAAAGCAGCATCGTCTCTGGATTGTTGCACCAGCGCATAGTGAGTAGCAAATGTGTGGACCGATGACCACACTGCAGCTCTACAAATGTCCTGGATCGGTACTTGAGCCAGGAAGGCAGTCGAGGAGGCCTGGGCCCTCGTGGAATGAGCAGTGAGGTGTGGCTTTGGTACACCGGCCAGGTCGTAGCAAGCACGAATGCAGGACGTAATCCAAGAGGACAGGCACTGTGAAGAGACCGGTGATCCTTTCATCCGGTCGGCCACCGCAACGAAGAGTTGCGTCGTTTTCCTAAATGGCTTTGTCCGGTCAATGTAGAAAGCCAGGGCCCTGCGAACGTCCAAAGAATGTAAATGCTGGTCTTGACGAGTAGCGTGCGGTTTCGGATGGAAGACCGGGAGAAATATATCTTGGTTTACGTGGAAAGGTGATACCACCTTCGGAAGAAAGGCAGGATGGGGGCGAAGCTGCACCTTGTCCTTGTGGAACACCGTATAAGGGGGCTCGGATGTCAGCGCCCTGAGTTCCGAGACGCGTCGTGCTGAGGTGATGGCTACGAGGAAGGCTGTCTTCCAGGATAAGTACAGGAGTGAGCAGGTCGCCAATGGTTCAAACGGAGGCCCTGTGAGCCTGGAGAGGACGAGGTTGAGGTTCCACGTCGGAACCGGTTGTCGTTGCTGTGGGTACAGCCGGTCTAAGCCCTTGAGGAATCTAACGACCATCGGGTTAGAGAAGACCGAGGACGTGAGTTCTCCTGGGTGGAAAGCGGAAATAGCGGCGAGGTGAACCTTGATTGAGGATGTCGCCAAGCCTTGCTGTCTTAGGGACAGGAGGTACTCCAGTATCAAGGGGATAGGAGCCTGCGAGGGAGACGTAGCTCGTTGCTCACACCAACAGGAGAACCTCTTCCACTTGGCTAAATAAGTGGTCCGCGTAGAGGGCTTTCTACTTCCCAGCAGGACCTGTTGGACGGCCTACGAACATTGCCGCTCTGAGCGACTCAACCATGAAGCATCCACGCCGTGAGGTGGAGCGACTGCAGGTCGGGGTGATACAGCCGGCCGTGGTCCTGAGAGATGAGATCCGGACTCAAGGGGAGCGTGATCGGTCTCTGTACTGACAGTTCCAGCAGTGTGGTGTACCAGTGTTGTCTCGGCCAAGCAGGAGCGACTAGAATTACCCGTGCATGGTCCCTGTGGATCTTGAGCAGCACCCTGTGGACCAGCGGGAATGGAGGAAAGGCGTAGAACAGATGGTCTTTCCATGCCATGAGGAAGGCGTCTGACCGAGAGCCCGGGGCTCGCCCGTGTAGGGAGCAGAATGCCTGGCACTTCCTGTTGGCCCGAGATGCGAACAGGTCGATCTGGGGAAACCCCCACCTTTGGAAGACGGAATAGATGATGTCCGGGTGAATCGACCACTCGTGCGTCTGGAAGGACCTGCTGAGACGGTCCGCCAGCGTATTCTGGACTCCAGGCAGGAATGACGCCGTGAGATGAATCGAGTGGGCGATGCAGAAGTCCCACAGGCGAATGGCCTCTTGGCATAGGGGAGATGAGCGAGCTCTGCCTTGCTTGTTGATGTAAAACATGGCCGTGGTGTTGTCGGTGAGAATCAGCACGCAACGGCCCTGTAGGAAGTTGAGGAAAGCCTGACAAGCCAGGCGCACCGCCATCAGCTCTCGGACGTTGATGTGCAGGGCTAGTTGGGACGCGGACCACAGGCCTTGGGTATGGTGCTCCCCCAGGTGAGCGCCCCAGCCTAGAGATGAAGCGTCCGTAACTAGGTGGAGGGAGGGCTGTGGGGCGTGAAAGGGCACTCCTGCACAGACCGCTGCGCGATCCGTCCACCAGGCGAGAGAGGCCAAGACCGAGGCCGGAACCGTGGCCACCATGTTCAGGTCGTCTCGATGAGGACGGTAGACCGATGACACCCAAGCCTGCAGTGGGCGAAGTCGCAGTCTGGCGTGCCTGGTTACGTATGTACACGAGGCCATGTGGCCCAAAAGGACAAGGCATGTTCTTATGGTGGTAATTGGAAAGGCCCTGAGACCTTGAATGACGCTTGAGATGGTATGGAATCGGCTGTCTGGCAGTATGGCTCGGGCACGTCTGGAGTCCAGGATTGCTCCAATGAACTCTATCCTCTGAGTTGGTACTAGAGTGGACTTCTCTCTGTTGAGTAGAATGCCCAGCTCGTGGAAAGTGTTTGTCACTATGCGGACATGAGCCTGCACTTGGTCTCTGGTGCGGCCGCGTACCAGCCAGTCGTCCAAGTACGGGAACAGCTGTATCCCTTGTCGACGAAGGAAGGCCGCGACGACTGCCAGGCACTTTGTGAACACCCTGGGAGCCGAGGACAAGCCGAAGGGAAGGACTGCGAATTGGTAGTGCACCCTGTTTACCACAAATCGCAGGAAACGTCTGTGGGGCGGATAAATTGCTATGTGGAAATAAGCGTCCTTCATGTCGAGGGCGGAGAACCAGTCTCCAGGATCCAGTGAAGGGATGATGGTCCCCAATGACACCATGCGGAACTTCAACTTTACTATAAATTTGTTGAGTCCGCGCAAGTCTAAGATGGGCCGTAGACCCCCTTTTGACTTGGGTATCAGGAAGTAGTGGGAGTAAAACCCCCTGCCCCTTAGCTCCGATGGAACCTCCTCTATGGCCCCCATAGCGAGGAGCCCAAAAACCTCCTGTGTAAGGAGTTGCTCGTGAGAAGGGTCCCTGAAGAGGGACGGGGAGGGGGAGTGGGAGGGGGGGGGCGAGGAAAATTGGAGGGCGTATCCCCTCTCCACCGTGCGAAGGACCCAACGGTCCGAGGTTATACGGGACCAAGCACGGTGGAAGCGGGAGAGGCGATCCCGGAAGGGGGGAGTTGGATCCTGGGTACCGGTCGTGGTGCCGTCCTCGACCGCACCTTCAAAAGGTTTGCCTAGGCCCTGAAGGTGGTCTAGGCTGGCCCTGGTTCTGACCGGGTTGAGGGCCGGTCGACCTTCGCCTACCACCTCGACCCCGCCTCCTAGCAAAGTCCTGTCTTGGACGAGGTGGGGGAGGGTAGAACCGCTGAGGCTGGGGCCTGAAGGGTCTGCGCTGCGGCCCTGGGACATGCATCCCCAGGGAGCGCATCATTGTCCGAGAGTCTTTAAGATTTTGGAGCCTCGAGTCTGTTTTCTCCGAAAAGAGGCCCTGGCCCTCAAACGGTAGATCCTGCAGGGTCTGCTGCAGTTCAGGTGGCAAGCCTGACACCTGGAGCCAGGAGATTCGGCGTATTGCTATCCCCGACGCCAGGGTCCTAGCGGCCGAGTCCGCTATATCAAGGGACGCCTGCAGAGAGGTGCATGCCACCCGCTTGCCCTCCTCTACCAAGGCCCCGAACTCTTCCCTCGATTCCTGGGGAACCGGCTCTCTAAATTTCCCCATCGAGGACAACATATTAAATCCATAGCGGCTCAGGAGCGCCTGCTGGTTCGCTGCCCGCAGTTGCAGTCCGCCAGCCGAATAGACCTTGCGTCCGAACAAATCGAAGCGCTTAGCGTCCTTCGATTTGGGCGCAGCGGCCTGCTGGCCATGGCGCTCCCGTGCATTGACTGATGAAACCACCAGTGAGCACGGTTGGGGGTGAGTGTACAAGTACTCATGTTCCTTGGAGGGCGCAAAGTACTTCCTCTCAACCCCTCTGGCCGTGGGCGGAATAGAGGCCGGGGTCTGCCAGATGGTGGTGGCGTTCGCCTGGATCGTGCGGATCAGCGGTAATGCCACCCTGGATGGAGCATCCGCTGAAATGATCTGCACGATGGGATCATGGACCTCCGCAATCTTCTCCACCTGGAGGTCCATATTGCGAGCCATGCGGCGCAGCAGGTCCTGGTGGGCCCGAAGGTCTATGGGAGGCGGCCCAATGGCGGATGTGCCCGCTACGGCCTCATCAGGCGAGGACGAGGAGGATGCCCCCGGTGGCAAGGGGTCCAATGGTTGGTCCTGCTCCAAGTGTTCCTGGAGTTGGGCATCGCCTGCCCCCAGGTCCAGGGCCTCTGCTGGTGCGGGCGCTGGCGCCTCCACGTCCCTTGGAGGAGGGCGGGAGATGGTGGACTCTGGGGCCCTAGGCTCCGAACGGCCCGAGCGGGAGGCAGATAGCGGAGCTCCTTGTGCCTGATGGTAGGCCTAAGGAGTCCAGAAGGACCAATGCGCAGGCCCTTGCATAGGGTCGTCGGTCTCCTGCAGGTGGCTGGCCTCCACTGCCTCAGATGATCGCGACGCCGATCTCGACGGCCACGGCGGTGCCGAACCCGACGCCGTCGGTACCGGATGGTACGGTGCCGATCGGTGCCGGTCGTAAGGCGACCTGCCCCTGTGCGGTGCCGGAGAGCGGTGCCGGGATCTGGAGCGGTGCCGGTAGTCCCTCCGGTGCCAGGATCCCGACCTGGAACGGGACGACGATCTGGAGGAGGCGTGGTACCGGGAGCGGCCTCTCGAGCCCGAGTGGCGCTCATACCGGTGCCGGGAGCTGCGTCTCGAGCCCGATCGGTGCCGGTCGTCTCGACGGTGCCGGGATGTTGAACGGCGCCGCGAAGAGGATCTGGGCCGCGAGTACGACCGGTGCCGAGGTGATATTCGGCGCCGGGACTCAGAGCGGCATCGGGACCTACTCCGGGATCTGGAGCGGTGCCGAGAGACTCGTGCTGGCGACGGTGGGCGCACCAGGGCAGGTTTTCCCCTGGACTGCAGGACGCGTGGAGCCACCGGTGCCGGGAGTTGTGACGGCGCCGGCTCCGTGAGGGCGATCAAGTCTCTCGCCGTAGCGAAGGTCTCCGGGGTGGAAGGGAGACAAGGTTCCACCACCAGCCTTGGTGGTGAAACAGTCCGCACCGGACTCAACGGCCTCGGTGCCGGAGTCGACGGTGTGGCCGCCTGTCTTTGGCGGTCCAACTGTGGACGCGGCTTTACCCCCGGCACCGGGGGAGCCGGTATCTTCGCGGCAGCAACGTCCCGCGCCTTGCCAGCCTTCTTATGGCCCGGAGAAAGGGATCGGCGCCGAGGTTCTTTAGGCGGGCGCGATGCCGACGTCGGTCGGTGCCGAGCAGTCTTTTCCGCCGCACCGGTTGGGCCCGCCGGGGCGCTGCGCACCGAAGCGCTCGGTGCCGAGACAGGGCGCGCCGAGGGAGGATCCGGACTCAGAGCCGCCTCCATCAGGAGCTGACGGAGTCTAAAGTCCCGCTCCTTTCTTGTCCTTGGCTTGAAGGCCTTGCAAATAGGACACTTATCTGCTGGATGAGCCTCTCCAAGGCACTTCAAGCAAGAACTATGCGGGTCGCTGGTTGGCATATGCTTCCCGCAGGACGCGCACGGCTTAAAGCCAGGAGCCTTGGGCATGGGCCCGGCTGTGCGCCGGGGGGAAAAGGGGAAAAACACCCCCTAAACCCCCGATAACAATATACAACTATATATATACACACTATACACTAACTAACTAACTAACTTGAACAACTATCTATATAACTAACTATAACAAGAGCAATGAGAAGCTAGGGAGTGTGGAGATCAGCTAAGCCGCGCTCCACAGTTCCAACGACCGTCAGGGGCGGTAAGAAGGAACTGAGGGGGCGCTGGGTCGGCTGGGGTATATATCCAGCGCCATAACGGCGCCACTCTAGGGGGCTCCACAGCCGACCCACCGGGTGTTGCTAGGGTAAAAATCTTCCGACGATCGTGCACGCGGCGCGCACACACCTAACTGGAATGGATATGAGCAAGCACTCGAAGAACAACTTTTGTTTCAGATGTTAGTTTTCTGAGAAATTGGCTTAGAGGAAATCTTATATGCGTCACTGTCCATTTTTATGTAATTACATATATGCATAATCACACAACAGTCCATAATTATTTTATCAGCAACTAGAGTCCACATTTTGAAAAGCTAAAGCAAACATCTGTTTCTGCACCCCAAACCTAACAAAAATCACTCTTTGCTTTCTACACATCAATTTATACTTTTTTGAGGAAATTTGCTGGCTCTAGCAAATCCTTCTGCCAAGTCCACTATGTCCTGGGTATTTCCAAGAACATGGACTTTTAGAAGAACTTGGGGTAACACGTTCTTCAGTCACACAGAGACAAGCTGAGACCTTGAAATTCCAGAAACTTAAGGGTGGCACAGGCATTGAAAAATACTTGGATCATCTCTATTAGCGACTCAGTAATGCATCTAATTGTCTATATCTAGCCATTATGTCTTCTTATTCTTTCTTTTCCCACAGCAAACATCCCTACATCCACAAAGCACAACACAAAAGACTGAATGAGAAAATTACTTTAAAAAAATAAACTGATACCTAGAAGCAAGAGACATAAAAAGAGCATGGACTAAGAACAGGTCAAATGACGAAAAGTTTGAAGCATAACCTGAAAAATGAGATTTGTTGTATAGCTGCAGCAATGGCATGGAGATTTATCATCAGTAGTAAAAAAGGAACTTAAGTTGCTGTATTCCCTAGTTGTAACAGGCACATGGGATACAGTTTAATAGATCTCTAAGATCACCAGACTCTTTTAACCTATCAAAAAGAGAATTTAGACTTTTTCCAATTTTGATTAAATTTCTGCTGGGTGACAAATAGTTTTATTATAAATCAATTGCTACATGCTGGCAACACCACACTGTATGACATCTTAGAAAGTATTTCTGAGTACCTACTTGCCACGTAGTTTTCAAATTTGATTTATCCAGCCCATTCCCAGAAACTCCTAAGGAATTTATGCAAGAGGCGGAGAGGGTCTGAATCTGATTCCCATACTGGTCTGTAACCATCACATCTATTAAAAAGAAGAAAGCTTATTTTTCCAAAAAAATCTGTAACTGCACAACGTCCTCTTTAATAAGACAAAGTATGAACATGCACAAAATCTATATACGTATAAACTCGATCATAAGCCGGTTTGTTTATAAGCCGACCCCCGCCCAAGATGGATAAGTAAAAATGGAAATTTTTTATGACCTATTCATAAGCCGACCCTATAATTCAGAGGTCAGCAAACTTTGGCTCCCAGGCCATCAGGATAAGCCGCTGGTGGGCTGAGATGGTTTGTTTACCTCAAGCGTCCGCAGGCATGGAGGTAAACCTACATAAACAAAGTGTCCCGGCGCAACAGCTGCTTACCCTGACGGGCCGGGACAGAAACTGGTGGGGAAATGTTTTTTGGGGGGAGGGGTGGAGAAGCTGGGGGACAGGGGAGTAACCCCTGTGACCACCACCCACATGACCCCACCCCTAGTCTGGGACCCCCACACTCTCCCCATCCCATCCCTTCCCACCTTATCTGGGGAGGGCCAGGGGAGGATGTCTCTGGCCTGGCTGGAGCTGCTCTGGCAGGATAGGCAGCACGGCCTCAGCCTGCTCCGGCGGGGGCCAGACCGGGCGGCGCGGCCACAGCATGTTCCAACGGGCTGGGCTGGGCGGCACTGCCGTAGCATGCTCCGGCAGGCCGGGCGGCGCGGCCACAGCCTGCTCTGGGGGGCGGGGCCAAGCGGCATGGCTGCAGCCTGCCAGCCCCGGAGCTGCATCTGCTTCGGAGGCTGGGGGGAGAGCAATGTGGTGAGAAGCAGAGAGACTCTGGCCCCGCCTCTTCCCTTCTGGCTCTGCTGCCTCTCCTTGCTCCTTCCGTTGGGGGGAGGAGCTGTGTCCCACATATCCCTCTCTATACCCGTTCATAAGCCGACCCTCTTCTCTGGTGCTTCCCTTTTTCACTAAAAAAATTCGGCTTATGAATGAGTATAAACGGTAAATAGGAAATAGTGAAAAATGCATTCATTTACTCTCGCCATACCTGACAAGACGACTCCTTTCCCATTCACACACATTTACCTTTAGCAGTAGATCTCTTAACTTGACATAGAATTAAAAGAGAAGTCTTCTTAATATTGAAACTCATGTGAGAACACATTAGAGCACTGACATGAGCTGTCTTATGCTGATTTTTTTCTTGCCTCATAAATGAAATGGGAGTTTTATTTCAAGATACACTTTTATATCCCCACAAAATGTTCCTAATATTTTTAATTTCTAGAGGTTAGTTAAGTAGATATTATCTGATATTTTTCAGACTATTTTGAGGTCATTTACACATTCAGCATACCTAAACTACTTGTATACTATAGAAAAAAAAACCCTCTTTATCAGCTGAAAAAAAATCACAACATATTATTTCACTGACAGTTCTACCAATAAAATACCTCATAGCCAAACATTTGTAGCATCATAGCCAATGGGAATTTAAGTCATCAATATATGCATAATAATGACATTGAAATATGAGGTAAAAACTGTGAAAAACACCAAAACTGAGGAATACTGAAAAGGCTGATGGTCGTCTCAATATGCCTATTTCCATTCAAATTAGGAGCCTCAGCCTTAAAATAAATTAATATAGAGATGACCAGATTTCTGAAATAAGGTCTGAAATAGTATTCAAATTAAGAGGTTTTAGATAGCATGACTTAAATAAAATCTTCCTGATGATCTGAGCTCCAGAGGGAGGAATATCAAGTAGACTAGGAATTCAGATTTACAGGTGGGTTTTGTCTTCTAGAAGATATTTGTAACACTACCTTTTCACTATGAGCTGTGATAAACTCTTCCATACTAGGATTTTAATTTTAAAATGTAGCTGCCTATTTTATATTGGACAACGTACTATAGAGTTTCTGCCACATGCTGTTTGTACAGATAACAGGATAATACATTATGAGAGATGAGGAAATATTTATATCCTACAATGAAGTATAGGACATGCAGGTACTCACCAATTTCACTTTCTAGCTCTTCACCCATCTGTAATGTATTTGGTCCTTTTAATTTGCATTTAATATGTTTAGGCTCATCAGGAAGTGGTCTAAATTGGCATACAAAATTGGCTTGTAGTTCTTCATTAAATCAATTACTTTAAACATATTTAACAAAAATAATTCATTTGCAAACAGAGTTTCAAAATTATATCCTTGCATATATTACAGACTCAAGTGCTTACATTTGATTTAGTAGTTGACAAACTTTTGAATTGTGTTTTGTAACCAGGCTAAAGTCCAGCCTACTCTGCAATTTGGAACAGTATTTGTAACCAGATTAGGACAAAATAAATTGTACAAATGTCTGAATTAATTTTAAAACATATGTCTAGTTGTAAAATCCATTAGAATCTGGATCATGATAATATGCCGTGATATACATACACAAAGATATCAAGATCTCATCTATAAAAAAAGGCACGTAGACCAGATTTTCCTTCAGCGCATTTTGGCTGAACCAATCTTATTGGATTGAGGAATTTATTTCTTCCTATAGTACACCTCTACCTCGATATAACGCTGTCCTCGGGAGCCAAAAAATCTTACCGTGTTATATCAAACTTGCTTTGATGCGCCGTAGTGCGCAGCCCCGCCCCCCCGGAGCACTGCTTTACCTCGTTATATCCAAATTCGTGTTATATCGGGTCGTGTTATATCGGGGTAGAGGTGTATGTATAATTGTACCACAAACAGTTAGTGTGAGGATCTTTAAAATTATATTTTTTCTAAAAATAAATAAAATAAAAGTTGGTTTATTTACTGAATTGTGTTACTTTGTCTTCCACAGGTATTATGTCTGACCGTGAACAGCTGAAGGAATCAGCATTCAGGTTGTTCTAAATGAGGCCATAAAATATTAATGACTAGCTTAAGCTATGTCTACTCTGTTTAGGATTGACCATTCTTCTCAGAGAGACATGGTAGGTGAGGTAATATTTTTTATTGGACCGACTTCTGTTACAGCTACACAGAACTTTTCCTCAGGTCTGGAAACGTACTCAGTGTCACAACTAAATGCAAGGTTGAACAGATAGTTTAGTATAAGTAGTTAGCACATATTCTAAGGGACCATTTAAGGTGAAACCTATATTTAGCTGTGACACTCTGAGGCTATGTCTACACTACACAGCTTTTAGCGACATGGCTGTGTCACCACAGCCATGCCACTAAAAGTCATCCAGTGTAGCTGCTTTTTGTCAGCTCTCCTGATGACAAAAAACTTCTACAACCAACGAGCAGCGTTTCTGTTGGCAGGAGAGCGCTCCTGCTGACAATGTGCTATTCACACTGGCATTTGTTGCGGCAAAACTTTTGTCTTTCAGGATTTGGGTTTTTTTTTTTTTTAAAACACCTCTGAAAGACAAAAGTTTTGTTGTTCAATTGCCAGTGCAGACATAAGCCTTAGTATCTTTCCCAGAGCGGAGGAAGAGCTCTGGGTAGTTCAAAAGCTTGTCTTTCTCGTCAACAGAAGTTGGTCCAATAAAAGATATTACCTCAGCCATCTCATCTCTCTAACATCCTGGGACCAACACTGCTACAAAAACATTGCATACATTCTTCTCAGAGCTATTAAGCCTTGTTCCCGAGCTAGTCCTAGGGTTCATCTAGAGGGAGACTGGGAATAAATTTGTGATATTAATGCTGTATTGGCACCAAACAAGTCTTTGGGCTCCAAACAGTCAGCGCATTTGGCACTATGTAAAGAGACAACCATGTCTGACCAAAAAAAAAATCTCTTCAGATGCAAATATAAGTTTATTTTAAAAATAACTGTGCTTGAATCAGCTTCCTAAACACAATTTGTTAAGAAGATTCCTATCAAGGGGAAGACAGAAGAATCACCTTCTCAGATAAGGAATAAACAATAAAGGTGATGGTCTCTATTGTTCTGTTTTGTTTCAGCAACAACAATTTGGTTTGTTTTTCAAGAATCTTTCTCCTGAAGAAGAAAAAACGGTTACTTACCTTCTGTAACTGTTGTTCTTCGAGATGTGTTGTTCACGTCCATTACACATTAGGTGTGCGCGCGCCGCGTGCACGAACGTCGGAAACTTTTTCCCTCAGCGGCTGCCGTCGGGCCTGCAGGGTCTCCCCTCCCACCAGAGCGGCGCCCCGCTCTAGTGTATATATATCCCTGCCGGCCCGATCCTCCCTCGGTTCCTTCTTGCCGGTGATTCCGACAGAGGGGAAGGAGGGTGGGAAGTGTAATGGACGTGAACAACACATCTCGAAGAACAACCGTTACAGAAGGTAAGTAACCGTTTTTTCTTCTTCGAGTGATTGTTCACGTCCATTACACATTAGGTGACTCACAAGCTTACCATCGGAGGAGGGTAGGAGTCAAGGAATAATCGACTGAAGCACAGCTCTACCGACCGTCGCGTCCTCTCTGGTCTGATGATGGATCGCGTAGTGGGCTGTGAATGTATGCACCGACGACCAGGTGGCCGCTTTACAGATTTCCTGGAGTGGAACCTGCGCCAAGAACGCCGCCGAGGACGCTTGGGCCCTAGTAGAGTGAGCCCTGATCTTCGGGGCTGGTACGTCAGCGAGCTCATAGCACGTGCGTATGCAAAGCACAATCCATGCCGACAAGCGTTGCGTCGAGATAGGTTGGCCTCTCATCCGCTCCGCAATGGCAACGAACAGTTGAGTCGACTTGCGGAATGGCCTAGTCCGTTCTAGATAAAAAGCCAATGCCCTACGGACGTCAAGGGTATGCAAGCTGCGTTGGCTTGGGTCCGAGTGTGGCTTAGGGAAGAACACCGGTAAACAAACGTCCTGTCCCATATGAAAATGCGTGACCACTTTCGGAAGGAATTTCGGGTGCGGTCTGAGCTGCACCTTATCTTTATAAAAAACTGTATAGGGAGGGCCCTCAACTCTGAGACCCTCCTAGCCGATGTGATGGCCACGAGAAACGCTACCTTCCATGAGAGGTGCATGAGGGAGCAAGAGGCCAGGGGTTCAAAGGGCGGCCCCATGAGCTTAGTGAGGACCAGGTTGAGATTCCACGCAGGGACCGGCGGGCGCGAGTAGGGAAACACCTTGTCCATCCCCTTGAGGAATCGGGCTACTGTGGGGTTAGAGAACACCGAAGCCCCTAACTCCCCAGGGTGGAACGCCGATATGGCAGCCAGGTGCACCTTAATAGAGGCGGGGGCGAGCCCCTGATGCTTGAGGTGCAGCAAGTAGACCAGAATCAATGGGACTGAGGCCTGCAGAGGCTGGATGTGATGAGGCTCACACCAGTGGGACAACCGTTTCCATTTGGCAAGGTAGGTCGCTCTTGTGGAGGGCTTCCTACTACCAAGGAGGACCTGCTGGACCTGATGGGAGCACCTGTGCTCCATATCGTTTAGCCAGAGAGAAACCATGCCGTGAGATATAGCGACGGTAGGTTCGGGTGGAGTAGGCGACCTCGGTCTTGCGTGATGAGGTCGGAGGGCGATCGGAGTGGCCACGGACAGTTCCAACAGGGTCGTGAACCAGTGTTGGCGTGGCCACGCCGGGGCGATGAGGATGACTGTCGCCTTGTCCCTGCGGGTTTTGAGGAGGACCCTGTGGATGAGCGGGAATGGGGGGAAGGCATACCTCAGGCTCCCGCCCCACGGAATTGCGAAGGCATCTGCCAATGAGCCCGGACTGAGGTTCTGGAATGAACAAAACTGAGGGCATTGGCTGTTGTCCTTGGTGGCAAAGAGATCCACCTGGGGAAACCCCCACCTCCGGAAGATTAAACGCAGGACGTCCTGTCTCAACATCCACTCGTGCATGTGATAGGACCGGCTGAGGCGGTCTGCTAACCCGTTTTGGGCCCCCGGGAGATATGTCGCTAGTAGGTGGACTGAATGGGCTATGCAGGAGTCCCAGAGGAGGAGCGCTTCGTGACAGAGGGGAGAGGACTGGGACCCGCCCTGCTTGTTTATGTAGAACATGGCGGTAGTGTTGTCCGTCAGAACTGACACACTGTGGCCTTCTATGGTAGCGTGAAAGGTCTGGCAGGCGAGGCGAACCGCCCTCAACTCCTTCAGGTTGATATGAAGCAACTTTTCTTCCCTGGACCATAAGCCCTGAGTCCGCAGGTCCCCCAGATGTGCCCCCCAACCCAGGTCCGACGCATCTGTTACTAACGTCAGAACGGGTTGCGGGGTGGCGAAAGGGACCCCTGCGCAAACCTGCTGCTGATCGAGCCACCAACGGAGGGAGTTCGACACCCGAGCCGGGATCGTCACGACCAGGTCTAAGGGGTCTCTGTTGGGGCGATATGTTTGGGCTAGCCACAACTGCAACGGCCTGAGTCTTAGGCGGGCGTGTCCGACTACATGAGTACAGGCCGCCATGTGCCCCAAGAGTTGTAAGCAACATCTGACCGTGGTCGTGGGGAATTGCTGGACGGAGCTCACGACCTTCTGAATGGCCAGGAACTGCGATACGGGAAGACTCGCTCGTGCCGCCACTGAGTCCAGGACTGCCCCTATGAAGTCCAGTCTCTGCGTGGGGACCAGCGATGACTTGGGTACATTGACCAGTAGACCGAGTTTGTGGAACACCTGTAGTGTCAACGTCACATGGGAGCGAACCTCGGCCTCCGACCGGCCCGCAAGGAGCCAGTCGTCCAAGTATGGGTAGACGCGCATCCTTCTTTTTCGAAGAAAAGCTGCCACCACGGACATGCATTTTGTGAATACGCGCGGGGCCGTTGCCAGGCCGAAGGGCAAGACTGTAAATTGGAAATGGCGCTGGTTGATAGTGAAGCGCAGGAACCGCCGGTGGGCCGGGCGGATGGCGATGTGAAAGTAGGCATCTTTCATATCGAGGGCAGCATACCAATCTCCCGGATCCAGGGACGGAATAATAGTACCAAGGGAGACCATACGGAAACGTGGTTTGAGCAAGTATTTGTTTAGTTTGCGTAGGTCCAGAATAGGACGGAGGCCCCCTTTCGCTTTGGGAATGAGGAAGTATCTGGAATAGAACCCTTTCCCCCTGAGGTCCGGAGGAACCTCTTCCACCGCTCCTACTGTGAGGAGGGTCTGCACCTCCTGCATGAGGAGTTGCTCGTGAGAGGGGTCCCTGAAGAGGGACGGGGATGGGGGGCGAGGAGAACAAGGGTGTAGCCTGCCTCCACCGTGCGTAGGACCCAGCGGTCCGATGTTCTACGTGACCAAGCACGGTAAAAATGGGACAGGCGGTCCCTGAAACACAGAGGGGGATCCGGAATAGAGGTTGGTACTCTGTCCTCGATAGCAGCTTCAAAACCCTTGTTTGTTTCCCGGCTGCGGCTTGCTTTGGCCATGATTTTGGCCCTGGTTAGGCGTGTTATTGCGTCTACGCCTGTTATCCCTGCCCCTCCTGCGGTACGGTTCCTGTCTAGGACGAGGGTGGTACTGTCTCTGTGGAGGTTGGGGCTTAAAGGGCTTCCTCTGCGTCACTGGGGTGTGCATCCCCAACGACTTGAGGGTAGCTCGAGAGTCCTTGAGGCTATGCAGTCTGGCGTCCGTCTGGTCCGAGAACAAGCCTGATCCCTCGAACGGAAGATCTTGGAGGGTGTTTTGCACCTCTGGGGGAAGGCCGGAAGCCTGTAGCCACGCCGAACGTCTCATTACCACTCCTGACGCGATTGTCCTAGCGGCTGCGTCCGCGGAGTCAAGGGAGGCCTGTAAAGAGGTCTTGGCTACCGCCTTCCCTTCGTCTACTATGGCCGCAAACTCGGGTTGCGAGCCCTGAGGCAAAGCTTCCTTGAACTTGGAGACCGATGCCCAGGAGTTGAAATTGTGTCTGTTCAGAATCGCTTTTTGGTTTGCGATCCGCAACTGGAGGCCTCCAGACGAGTAGACCTTTCTCCCAAATAAGTCCAAGCGTTTTGCCTCCTTGGCCTTGGGGGCCGGGGCCAGCTGGCCATGTCGCTCCCGTTCATTGACCGCAGAGACGACCAGCGAACATGGTGTTGGATGAGAGAATAGGAAATCAAACCCTTTAGATGGGGCGAAGTATTTCCTCTCTACGCCTTTTGCAGTAGGTGCAGTGGAGGCTGGTGTTTGCCATACTGTCTTATAATTGGACTGGACCGTTTTTATGAGCGGGAGCGCGATCCTGGAGGGGCCCTCCGGGCTTAGAATGTCGACTATAGGGTCCTCCTGCTCAACAGTCTCCTCTGCCTGCAACCCCAAATTGAGGGCTACTCGGCGGAGCAGGTCCTGGTGCGCCCGATGGTCAATCGGGGGAGGACCGGACACGGTTGTGCCCGCCACTGCTTCGTCTGGCGAGGAGGAGGAGGTCATGGCCTTTTGCGCGTCTTCCTCCTCCTGCAACTCCTCATCGGCTGGGTGCTCCTCCGGACTGCGTTCCCTGACGTGGGCCTGGGACGGTGCCGGGCTCGGTGCCGAGTCAGCCCTTTCCCTCTCTGGCGGCCTGGAGACCGCGGCCTCTTTGCGGGAGGGTGGGCGCCACTGTGGAGAGCGGGACTGGTGTCCTGAGGGGCCAGATCCTGGACGCGGGGCCTTGTTGGTGGTAGGCCCAAGGGGTCCAGAATAGCCACTGTCCTGGGTGGCCCCACTGTGGGTGCCAAGTGGCTTCGTGCTCCCTACTGGCTTGCGCTCTGTGGGCATATCTGCTGGAATGGCCCGAGTCCACCTCCGAAACTACGGACGGTGATCTAGAGGGCCACGGCGGTGCCGGTCCGGGGTCGGAGAGCGGTGCTTTCGTGACCGGGACCGGGAGTAGCGCCTTGCTGACCTGGACCTGGACCGGTCCCGGTGACCCCGGGACCGGGAACAACTGCGGGAGGACAGTCTCGGGGATCGCGCAACCAATACGTCCCGGTGCCTCCTCGAGCAGGGCTGCTGGGCCGGTGCCTTGCGCTTGTTGGGGCCCGACGGTTGTGCGGCCCTCTGCGCGGAGGGAAGCCGGGAGTCCACCGAGGCGGAGCTCGACCGGGCCCGGCGCCGTGAACGGTGCCGAGATGGCGATTGTGATGGGCGCATCATCGCCGGCTTGCCTTTGGATGGCAGTCTCGGCGGAAGGTCCTTGGCGCGGAGGGTGCCTTCAGCGGACAATTCAATGAGGTCCTTTGCTGCCTCAAATGTGTCCGGGGTGGAGGACTGTTCCAACAGTTCCTCCAGCCCTTCCTCCTCACTCGACGCGCCTATCCCGGGGCTCGACGGGCCTTTCGGCGCCGGAGCCACTGGCACCGGGATCTGTGCTGGGGCCGCAACGGCCTTAGTAGCACTCGTGGTATTTGCGGGCGCTACCCTTTTGTGTGGGGAACGTCCTTGGGCCTTGGGTTGGCCCTTCGATTTAGCCGGCGAAGACGACCGGTGCCGGAGGTGTTCCCGCTGATTCGGTGCCGTGGGCTTAGGTTGCCCCGCCGGCGTCGGATGACGAACCGATGCCGGAGCTCTCCGCACCGAGGTTGACGGTGCCGTTGAAGTGGAGGACTGTAACGCCGTCTCCATGAACAGCTGCTTCAAGCGAAAGTCTCTCTCTTTCTTAGTCCTAGGCTTGAAAGCCTTGCAGATCTTGCAGCGCTCCTTTTGATGTGCTTCCCCCAGACAACGGAGACACAAGTCGTGTGGGTCGCTTACTGGCATAGGCTTGCGGCACGTGGCACAAGCCTTAAAGCCGTGGGCGTGCGGCATGCCCCGCTGCCTAGGGCCGGTGCCGGGGTTGGTCAAACACCCGACACAAAGAATGTTAAGTCTTTCTAAATAGCCAGGGGCTTAACACTAACTACTGAAGAACTGATAATTGAAGATAACACTGAGTACTTATGCTAAGGGACACTCTCAGACGAGAGGTAGAGTTGTTCCAACGTCGCCACGGGCAGTAAGAAGGAACTGAGGGAGGGTCGGGCCGGCAGGGATATATATACGCTAGAGCGGGGCGCCGCTCTGGCGGGAGAGGAGACCCTGCAGGCCCGACGGGAGCTGCTGAGGGGAAAAGTTTCCGACGTTCGTGCACGCGGCGCGCGCACACCTAATGTGTAATGGACGTGAACAATCACTCGAAGAAGAATGGAGGCTACTATCTAATCAAAATAACTTACATCTATTCAAGTAATTTATTTTGCACTACAAGGTGTGCTAGTGTTTTACAAGCACTTAAGATGAAACTCCTGCTTCAACTTTGTACAGTCTTGTTGCTTCAGGGTTGGCTACCATTTTGTATTTTGTGGATCTTGAGAACGTCTGATTGCTGCAAACCTACCTTGCAAAGATATTTTGACTTTTAGTTAATATTTGTACACTGCTCTGAAGCCATGAAGTCCTGTAGATGCTGAAAGTCTGTTACATATTTAATAATCACTGTTTTCAATTGTAGGATACCTGTAACAATTTGCTCTGCACTGATGCGAATATTTCCCTTTTATTGTTGCTGTAACCAATAGAGAGAGGCCAATGCTTTTCAACAATCCTGTAACACAGGCAACTGAAGCCTACCAACATCCTCCCTTTAAACAGATTTATATTCACAAGTGATTGTCAAACTATGTACAGCCATACATGGATGCTTTTCTTCACACACCATGTTCTTCTCTGCAATCAACATTTTTTGCTTTAGGATAGCCTATTTAATTCTTAATAAGTATAATCTCTTTCAAATATTTACATTTTTTTCCCCTTTTATTGAAAAAACACTAATTATTGTTTTTTAAAGGACAGTATTACAACCCTTTACAAAAAGCATTATCAATAAAAATGTGTTTTAAAAGAACAGACCTGACTGTAAATGCACTCTCCAAAGATACATGGTCATCATGGAATGTAATTAGGCAATAACGCACATCTTTTACAGATGTTGGTACTTTGACATCAGGCAGTAGTCCCTGAATCATTTGCTCTCTGTTAATCCTGGGTGTCCAGTTAACCTAAAACCAAAATATTTATTAACTAATCACTGGCTATACAACATTCATCCCTTCATTTGTACATATACATTATGGTTTTCAGGACTGGACTGTGTATGTAAAAATATACACAGCAGTAGTAATCTTATTCATGAGAGCCTTGAGTTTTTCCAACACTAACCTATGTTACCTGAACAAATACAGAAGTCTACTTTGAAGAGAACTTACATTCAGCCTGACTGCCTAAAATGTCCTGTTAACAGAGTCCCAATGCTCTAGAAACTTATCAAGACAAAATCTGAATCAATTCAATGGAGCTCTGCCTGGGTATCAAGCCCTACATCTATATATAGGAGGAAGAACATAAGGGAACATAAGTCCTTCATGAAGTTACAGGTTTGACACAAATCTGACCAGGCTACTGAATGTTGGGAAAGCCCCCAAAGCCAAGAGTATAGTTCTGGGGCAGGTATTACATGGATTAACATATTATACTGGAGAGTAGCTATGAAGAGTTGAGGAAGTTTTGCATTGGAGGAGGCAGGACTTTTATTTTATTTTATTTTTAAAAAGTCTTGAAAATGCTAACCTACTTTTCATAATGTATATTACTGCAAAAGATGTTCTGAATAAACCAAAGGGCCTGTTCTGCAATTTTCACTCAGGCAAGATTCTTATTGAGTCTCAGCAGCCTTGAGGAACAAGAATGCCATACAAGCAAAGTAATGTTACTTTTATTAATTAATAAAATGTGTTATGTAATTAAAGTAATCTTAGTCTAAGACCTTTACTGTTGAGATAGTTTCTGGCATTAATGGTAACAGAATATGATGCATATTACGCAAGTCTTACTCAATTCAATAAAATGGTCATTAAGTGTCTTTACCCCCCTATGGACATAGTTTTAAAATTTTATTGGATTTTTTAGAGATGAACAATCTTATTAAATGAGAAAAGTAACATTTCCATGTTTGTATAGTGCTTCAGATCTTCAAGGGGCCTGTGGCGGTATATTTATTCTACAATAAAATATCCAGGGCTGGCCTGTCAGTTAACTGGGGCTCGGGCTGTGGGGCTATAAAACATTCAGGCTCGAGCTGGAGCCCAGACTCTGGGAGCGTACAAGAAGGGAGAGTTCCAGAGCCAGGCTCCAGCCAAGCCCAAATGTATACTCTTCAACTTTACGGTCCAGCAGTCCAAGTCTGCTGACATGAACCAGCCATGGGAGTTTAATTGCAGTGTAGACATATCCAGAGACTATCAGTTGGAATGTTGCTCATGTACCTGATTTAATTAAAAAAAAAAAAAAAAAAAAAAAAAAGAGATAGAGAGAGAACACAAACCCCTTGTAAAGAAGTCAGTACATTTTCTTCTTTACATATTGTATATTCTACCAATTGTGTCCCATTTACTTTGAATTTATGATAAAGTTTCTTCTAAAATACCTACCTTAATTTTTTCTGCTAGAGCTGAAGTTATGATGATCTCTCTTTCTCCTTCATCATACATTTGAAAGATAAGGTTGTGCATGACATCCCCTGCAATCCAGTTAATTTCATCCTGGTGTTTGATTTGAATAGCCTTTTGTCCTTCTACACTAAAAATCTGCAGTCTTGCAACATGGCTACTGGGGAGCAGTTTAATAGTCTTTTCCACTGGTGGCACATCTTTACAACTCTATGCATGGCAAAAACATTGAATGCGACATAAGTAAGACATTAAATATATACCTGTACATTTTGTGAGCGTTGGGTGTATCTGAGCTCTAACATCCACTGAGATAAATGGAGTTACTCTAGGTTTCAACTGGCCTAGGTGTAACTGAGGTCAGAATCTGGCCTCTCAAAACTACAATAAAAATGCAAATCTTAATTTCACATCTTGAAATATTAGTTATTTATAGAAATTTCCATGTTTGGAACCTCAAATCCAGTGTATTTTTTTTTAAAACAACAATTTTAAAAAATAACCTTACAGCTGTGTTGAGAGTATAACCACCCTTTGAAATAGGTCAGTTTGCCATCTTACTATTTAACTATAACTTTTGCAGGGTTAAATACGAATGGCAGTATTTTCAGAGGTGCTGAGTGCTGCAGCTCCCCTGGACGTCAGTGGGCAATGTTAGGTTCTGTACCCCTGAAAATAAGACCTTAAGAATGTATTCATCAGTGATATAAAGTATCACCATTAATCCAAATTACTACAGCTCTTAAGCTTTGGAGATGTCAATCTGCAATATCCCTTATTAACTAACTCTCTGAGGACACACAACCAGACTCCAAGTGCCTATGCAAAGGACTAATCTGACCAATTCAGATCCAAGGAACCCTGGACATCCTTCCCAGGATACCTAGGATCTAGGGAAAGCAACCATGCAGGGATCCACCCAGGTCCAGTGGCATGGTCCCTATTAAGACATAGGGAAAATACTTACCTTTCATAACTGGAATTCTTTGAGATGCACAGTTCTTATCTGCATTCCACTGTAGGTACACGTGTACTTGATGCACCTGAGACCAAAGAATTCTAGTCAGTAATGTCCGTTCGTCTGTGCCTGTGCCCTTGCTCTCCTTGTGCTCTATGCTGAGAGTATAAGAGGCAGTGTGGACCCAGGGCTCTCCAATTCCTCCTCTTACCCTGATTCATAGAGGAGCCAGAGAGGAGCCAAAGCAGCAGGCAAGGAGGGCAGGTAGTGAGATAGAGATAAGGACAACACATCTAAAAAAAAAATGCAGTTAGAAAGGTAACTGCCCTTTCTTCGTTGAGTGCTGTTCCCCATGTGTATTCCATCGTGGGTGACTGACAAGCAGTACATAAATAGAAGGAGGGTGTGAGGATCCAGGTGATATGGGTGCTTGTAGAACCACTGTCTCAAAGGACGCATCAGTGGAGGAGGTTTGGACCAAGGTGTATTGCCCAAGAATGTGTGTCTGGAACTCCACATGGCTGCCTTGAAAATATCAAGCAGAGATACTTCTAGAAGTGATGCTACCAAGGCTGTCTGTGCTCCCATAGAGTGAGCCTGTAGCTCAGTGGGGGAAGAAGGTTGCCCACTGAATAAAAATGTAGGATACAGCCAGAGATACACTGGGAGAAAACAGCTTGTCCTCGGGCTAGACCTGCTATGGCAAGAAACAGCCTAGATGACTTTCTGATCTGTTTTCTTCTCTGTAGGTAAAATGCCAAAGCTCATCTCACGTTGAAAGAATGAAGTTTCTTCTCTATGCTGAAGGTGTGGGGTTTTGGAAAGAAGAGAGGTAAGTGGATAGCCTGGTTTATGTGAACCTCCAAAACTACTTTAAGGGTGAATTTTGGATGTAGTCATAGCGAGGCCCTGTCTTTATGAAATACAGTGTAAAGAGTGTCTGCCATTAGGGACTCCAGTTCGCCTACCCATCTGGCCAAGGTGATGGAAACGAGGAAAGCAACGTTCATAGTCAAATGATGCATCAGACAGCTAAACAGGGGTTTGAAAGGTGGCTTGGTAAGTGCTGAAAGTACTAAATTAAGGTACGATTGAGCAGTTGGTCTTATTACCAGTGGGGAAGTTCTAATTAAGACCTTTAAGAACTTGATTGGGAGGTGACTGAGTGAGTAAAGATAGAGAAGCCATCCCTTGGAGGGTGACAAGTGCTGATTGCTGTCAGGTGAACCTCTATTGAGCTAAAGGAATGACCTGTTGTCAATTGTTATTGCCCTCAGTTGTGGGGAAATTGTGCTAGGCATCCACCAAAATGGATCTCTGAGTTGGGTGGAGATGTCATGAACATTGGTTTGCAGCTCCATAGTGTCCTGTCAAAACTATCTTTTGGTTGGGGATGCAGGGTGGTGAGGCTGGGTAGCTGCAGAAGAGGTGTATTGGACAATATATCTCCATTTCTGCACCCACTGCCATTTGCAAAGTAGCTCATAAATGTGCTTGTGATAGAAAGGCTGTAGCAAAGGCCTTGGCTTGCAAGGTTGCTTATGCTACTTTCTTCAGGACTGGTGTATATATACACCCAGGAAGCAGAAGATTGCCCTGGAGTCTTTTAATGAATGCAAAGACTTGTCTGTCTTCTGGTGGAAAGGACTGATTTAATTAAAGGGCAAGTCATGCATGGTGTTCTGTACCTACCTGGGGAACCCTGAAGAGTGTAGCCAAGATTCCTGATGCATCACTCTAGCAGTCATCAGTGATCATGAAGCAGTATCAGCAGCATCCACTGCATCTTGTAATCAGGTTCTTGCCACTGATATGCTCTTATCAAAAAGGGTGTGAAGTAAAGCCCTATTCTCCTGGAGTAACCTGTCTTTAGAGACCAGGAATTTAGAATAATTCAAAAAAATCATTTTGCCAGGAGGGCCTGGTAATTGGAAATTCTAAATTGGAAGCTGGTGGAAGTAAACACCTTTCTCCCAATAAGGTCTAAATGCTTGGCCTCCTGAGCCACAGGGCTGGCCCTTGGGTGTTTTTAGTCCTCTCCACTGCTGCTTCGACAGTTAGGGAGTTCAGGGCAGGGTGGGAGAACAAGAACTCCACTCCCTTAGCCAGGACAAAGTATCAATTTTTGCTGCTGTCTTAGGGTAAGAAGAATGGGTAGGTTGCATGTGCCACACAGATTTTGCTGGTTCCAGAATCACCTC